TTGCCCAGGCTGCAGTGCAGTGGTGCAATCTCACAGCTCACTGCAGCCTTGACCTCATGAGCTCAAACAGTCCTCCCACCTCAGCACCCCATCACCCCACCCCAGCTGGGACTGCAGACCCATACCACCACACCCACTATTTTTTTTTTCTTTTTGTGAGATGAAGTCTCACTATGTTGCCCAGGCTGGTGTCCGACTCTTGGGCTGAAGTGATCCTCCTGCCTGGGCCTCCTAAACTGCGGGGATTACAGGAGTGAGCCAGCACTCCTGGCCTAACTTTACTTCTTAACCTCAGTGTTCTTATCTTTAAATTCATCTCAAGATTGCCATAAGGAGAAAATGAAGTAATGTCTGAAAAGTGCCTGCTACAATGCCCTGGAACATAACACCCACCATTTATTGAATACTTTGTGTTATTATAATGGTAACACCCCATCTGCCTCTCTGAAGAGGTAAAAGCAGCAGCCTAAGGGCAGATAAATTTTCAGTAATGTGTAAAGGTGCCTAAATAACTATTCTACTAACCCCTTGTTAGCCAATTTTAGAATTCTAATTGCTTTTTCACTGAGATTGGCTCTGTCTAACTCTCAGGTCATATCACCAGGATCCCCTGGGCCAAAGGAGTGACCCTTGCAAGTTTCAAGCATTTGGCAGGCCTGCTGGAATGACTGCTAATACAGTTCTCAATCACTTGAGTCACCATTGGCATAACGACCACTCTTGCAGACCCAGCCTGAACCTTGTTGCCACCTAGATTGTCTGGAGCATACCAGTTCCCAGTTCTGGGTCCCCTGTACCTCCTTTTCTCAATCCAGCCTGCTTTGATCAAAAGCCCAGTTCTCTCCAATTTGTGGTACCCACCTGGGGCTGGGTTTAAAATGGAGATGCATGGCCGCATATTGGCAGACACTCTCACATGATGGTTGTTAACTGTAGAACCTTTGCCTAGAGACCTTCAGAGGGTACGGTTACCATGACAACCACCAGAAAGATGGCAGGCCAGAGAAATGATGCAATTAAAGGAAAAGGGAGGCTGATTTCATGATGACAATCTGACCATGACAGAGTATGCTCACTCACAGATGGGATAGCACTGTCCAAGTCATGACCAGGTGACTATTACTAGAAAGAGAAAAAAGAATGGGGGTGGAATTTACCACCAAGAGACCAGAAGATGAAGAGACTCGTTACCAAGGCAACTAGGGAGAAAGGAATGGAAAAATGGAGCTTCACCATAGCAGCAGAAAATTGCTTCTAGCCAAGCAACACAGGACTGTTGCTATAGAAACATGGAGAACAGGGATCCTATAGACCATGGGGAGAATTATCACTGAAATGCTGAGCAGGAAAGACTCCTAAATCAGAATGGAGCCTGTGGTCCAAAACAAATGAGGAGAAGTGAAAAAAAACACAGGACCCTTTCCATTCATTGTAATTCTATTAGTCCTACCAAAAGAGAATGGGAACATTATTTTTAAAAATACCTTAGGCTATTTTATTTGTAGCTTTGTTTGTCTCCCTAGTGATCTTCTGAACTCTAAATTATACTAAAAATAGGTCCTGAAAGATATTTCTGTAACTTGAAATCCTAATTGGAGACATTAAGTTCAAGGGAAAATTGGGAAATTGAAGTCTATGACCAAGAGATAATAAGTATTTCTTTTAAAAACGACATAAAACCCTCTAATGAGAAGCTTTGCAGGGTAAAAAAGAGACAAAAGAAGGCCAAAGGGAGTCAGGAAAGCTAATTGTACTCATGCCTAGGTATTGGCTCTGACTCCTCTCCCCTTTCTGTGAGGCCAGAGGGGAAGTAGCTCACTGTGTTCTGGAAGGGAGGCTAAAAAAAAGTCTCTCACTTACAATGTATGTATATGTCTAGAGGTGATGGATGCAGAATCCCATCTCCAACATGCTTCATGTGTTACAGATTATTACGGGCAAAGAAATTATGGTTTTTTTCAAAAATGCCAAAATAAGTTCAGCCTGGAAGAGCATATCTAAAATGCAGAAATGAGATACCAGGGATACTCAAATTACATGGAAAGTAATAATTCCTTACCTGCCTTACTGAAAGCCCACAGTTAGTCATTTAATTCTCACCCACAGTGTGTGTGAGTTATACCTTAAGGGCAGATATATAGTTAGGCTTTCTGCAACTACCTCACCTTCTTTAGGAAATTGAGAGCAATACATAGGGTAGGATGGGCACAGTAAGATGGCAGGAAAGGAGAAAGTCGGGGGAGTGCAAAAAGATAGGAAGGAAAATCTCAGTGATGACCCATAAGCATTTATTCAATAGTATTTGCTAGCCTATGTATACCTTAAATAACACATTTAAAATTTATTTTTAAAAAGAAAGAAATTTGGCTGGACGTGGTGGCTCACACCTGTAATACCAACACTTTGGGAAGGCCGAGGTGAGTGGATCACCTGAGGTTGGGAGTTTGAGACCAGCCTGACCAATACAGAGAAACCCCGTCTCTACTAAAAAGAAGAAAATTGGCTGGGCGTGGTGGCACGCATCTGTAGTCCCAGCTACTCGAGAGGGTGAGGCAGGAGGATTGCTTGAACTCAGGAGGCAGAGGTTGCAGTAAGCCAAGATCACGCCATTGCACTCCAACCTAGGCAACAAGAGCAAAAGTCCATCTAAAAAAAAAGAAAGAAAGAAATTTGGGCCGGGTGCAGTGGCTCAAGCCTGTAATCCCAGCACTTTGGGAGGCCGAGGCGGGTGGATCACGAGGTCAAGAGATCGAGACCATCCTGGTCAACATGGTGAAACCCCGTCTCTACTAAAAATA